GTGTGTGTGTGTGTGCCTCACAGGTGTGTGTGTGCCTCACAGGTGTGTGTGTGTACCTCACAGGTGTGTGTGTGTACCTCACAGGTGTGTGTGTGTACCTCACAGGTGTGTGTGTTCTCTAGTTTAAAGCAGAAAATCTTGAATTAAAACAAACACAATGTTCAGACAACAGAACTCAGTCATGTTTCTGTGAATTCAGCTCAGATTCAGGACTTTGTGGCTTCAAACTGTCGACTGAAACAGTTTGTGTAGCTGTCTGCAGACTCACAACAGGTGAAAGGTGTGTATATTTACACACACTTTCACACAACAGTGGTTCTGATCCATCCTGACGTGTGCGTGGAACATGGAGCTCTTCAGACATGAGGCCCATAGTTTCTACACCAACAGTTTACAGAGATGAGTTTGAATCAAAGTTTGGTTCAGTTTTTAAAATGTTTGAATTACATTAAAAATCTGATTGTCTATTCTTCTTCAGCTCAAAGTCCTTCACAGAAATCGAGGCTCAGATTCTGTCTGAATTTGTCTAACCCTCCATCCCCTGCTGAAGAAAAGAAACTTGTTAAAGTCATGRCCTGCTGAGAAACAAAACACAAACTAACCCCAAAAGTAGAGTTACCTGAGAAAGTAAAAGAAAACAAATAAGAGAAAGAAGACATGAACACATAAGATAAAGGGAGTGAGGACAGAAGCATGGAGGGGTGGGGGGAGAAGAAGAAATGTCTCGGTGTTATATATACCTGTATGCTCATATTTGTGTCTTAGGAGGGAACTGGTCTTCTGGAATGTTTTGTCGCACAAGTCACAGGCGTACGTACCACTTTCAGTCTTCTTAATCTTCTTCCTGGAGAGCAGAGAGTCGCTATCTGACAGAGAGTCCATGGTCCCGTCCAACAGACCCCCCTGAGACAGAGACACAGCTTCAATCATAATCCCACACCTGTCGCCTTCACGCTCTGAGACACCCCCTCCTGTCTTCATGATCCCAAGTCTGGACAGGGCTTAAGGGCCCAACCTGGGTAAGTCCCTTCATCCAGGGGACTCTTAAAAACAGACGGTAGACAGGGAGGTGCAGGAGAGTGTCCTGAACCAGCAGAGTCCAGGTGAACTGAAGTCTTACAGAACCTGTCCTAAAACAGCGCTGCTTTTCCACCTGCAGGGTAAAGGTGGGTGCATCCACCTACATATCCATACTATCCATGCCAAGATGAGTGCCAGTAGCAGATCACTACTAGTGCAAAAAGATAGATTGTTTTGTTTACATTTTTTGTACTACTGACTTTAGTTTTCACWWWGTGAAAACTAAAGTCATCATTGCAGAATCTCCAAATTGTTTGAAGTTAGTCATTCTTATCCTCTACATCATCCCTGTGTGGGATGGTAAGTTCTTGTTATTGACATTGTTTTAGTTATATTTTTGTTAAATTGTCACTTCTTTTTTTACTACATTGTGTGTAGTAGAAGGTAATAGAGAAATTATTTGATGATGATCTGTGTTGTTTTATTCTGAGAAGCAGTGTGGTCACAGAGGAAGAGGACACCAGCAACATCAAACATCTACTCTGTCCCTGAAATGAAATCAGCTAAGATGGATTAAAGCATATGCAAGACATCTGTAGGTACTGAAGAAATGTGGCTGAGCCTTCAAAGTTTCTGAATCATTGAAGGAACAACCTTGTGAGCATGGATTTTATCTTGAGGAGCCTCATTCAGAACCTCCAGAGGTAAACTGGTAAAACTGAGCTAAGGTTTACCAGAGTCGTTTTGTTTGGCCATAAATAAATACATTTTTACAGTCTACCAAAGCTTAACTCTAAGGATCAAGCTCCTGAATTGTTACAGATATTTCAAGTCAAAACCCAGGCCAACAAAAAGACATGGTAACTAACAGCCTATAAAGTCAGAGAAACACCCAATAAGCATTGGTTAACTTTCTGAGTGGTGGCTCTCGGTTGTACTGATCTGACATATTTAAATTCACTTTATGGGAACATAAGAAGCATTCTGCTCTGGTTTTACCTGAAAACTTGATTTGCGCTGGTACTTTCTCCTCTGCTGCATTTCGGCAAATGTAGCTCCTGTGGAATAGGTATAGGCCATGTGGGGCAAGAAGCTCATAGGGTCTAGGCCTGGGTAAGGCCTAAGACCTGGGATGGCAGCCTGAGAAGGATTTATGAAAGCAGGTGGAGGAAAAGCTCTGTGAGGTGATAGGGATGTGTAGACAGGGCYAGCAGCAAATGGATTCATCCCAAAGATGGGGCTGGAGGTTTTTCCCAGCTGATGGATGGAGTTCCTTTCCCCATCAGAACCTACAACCTCCTTCTTGATGTTAACAAGTTCTAAAGGCCTGGACCCTTGTTGGTGTTCTGACAGTTCCCCTTTGTGTTCATTGATGAAACCATTGGTTCTGAGTCTCTTCTGTGCCATGTGTTTGGGCAGAGACAAATCTAAAGGTATATCTCCATTGGCCTCCATGCTGTTTGGAGTGTAAGAGGTACTCTGGGAGTTTTTATACGAGGTGGATGAAAGGTTTAAGGGTGACAGAGTATTGTTCTTCAATGACTCTGTGGGGTCTAGTGGTTCTTCCCCTGTTGTTTGCTTGTTTGCTGATAACTGGTTGGGCTTTGTAAGTCTGTGTGTAGAATTACTGTTAGTGATGCCATCATGTAAATTTATGGCAGGAAATGACACAGGAGATTGGCTTACGCTGTGGTATAGTCCACAGTGGTCACTAAGGGGCAGCTTTGTCCTGAAACTGTCCATTAGTTGGTTCTGACTCTTTGACTTGACAAACCATTCTTTGACAAACTCCTGAGGAAGGCCGACAGCTAGTGATATCTTGAGCAGTTCCTCTGAGTTAGGTTCCATGTTCATGGAGAAATAGGCATTCAGCACAGACATGTGGTCCTTGAACAAGTTAGTGGGACTAGTTGCCCTCTCAGTAGAGGATAGTTCATCTGCCATGAGCCCTCTGCAACTGGCAGAACTGCTTTCGACTGGCTGCAGGACCGTTTTGATCTCCTCGTTCATTCTGCACAGGTAGCGCTCATGTTGGTGAAGTGGGATGGGTCCAGGAAAGGTCTCCTTGCAGTATTGGCAAGAAAATGGAAGGAGGTGATTCTGTTCATCAGAGGACTTGTGTTCACTGATGAAATCAACTGATTTCTCTTTTTTCACATCCTTTTGCATCTTGGATTCATTGATCAGGTTCTTGGCATCATTGACTTTCTCCAGTGTGTAGTCAATGATGCTCTTAGTGGAGCTGCACTGGCCCATCATATGAAAACTAGCCTGGGCCTCCATTTGGGCCCCTAGCTCCTTAATGTACGCTCTGAGCTTGGATATTTCCTCTGGATTACTATCCATCTTCTGTCTATACACAGTATTGTCCACAATGTGAAGTACCTTCTGGACCTCACTCAGGCTGTTCCCAATAGGTCCTGTATAGCCCAGAAAAGATAGGTCAAGTCCCCTGCCTCCCAGATTTTGAAGGGTGGTCTGAGAGGAGCTATGGATGCCCATGGGACTTCTGCTTTGACCGTTCAGGTAGACCACTGGTCCCCCAAACCCATGTTGTGAAGCTGTCAGCAGCCGATACTCATTAAAGTCCATTGGCTCAGCTTTGATGTCCAGCAATCCTGGCTGATCTGATGGGCCAAGTGGTCGCTCATTTTCTAGTTTGTGCCGAAAATGAGCAAGGGCGGGGCTTTCACGTGAGGAAGTTGTGGAGTTAGGGGAAGAGCCAGCCTTGTTTCCATTACACATTCGTCCATTAAGAGCAACCAGACCGATGCATTTCTTACTGCTGATGTGAGAACTGTAGGATCCGGAGTGAGAGAAGCGCTTCTTGCAGTTGGAACATTCGTACGGTTTCTCACCTGTAAAAACACAAAGAGGAATTTCAGCTTCTTTCTACAGTTTGGGATTCAACTGAATGTTTCCATCTGTTTTATTTACTATAGCCTGAGTGGATCTTGAATGAAACATCTCAGGACCCAGAAACCACCTCATCTGGATGGGTCTCTGACACTTTACCTTCAAGTTAAAAAATACTTTTTTAAACTTCAAATATTGAAATTTTAAAAAAACTCTTGATTTAGGTTTCTAAAAACAATCAAGATTCCGCCCATGTCAGGAGATCAGAGAGCTGCCTCCTCATTTATAACCTCACCTAACTCTGTCTACATGTATTAAGTTTACATGAAGATGATCATTATCTGTACTTGGATTTTTAATGAAAAAGAAGAGATGAAACCAGTAAGTCAGCTGAGGCTCCTGCTCCATTTGTGTTTTTTGACTTGTCTTCATACTAAAGTTGATTTCAGCTGTTTACAGTCATTGTAGTGTTCAGTCTACGTCACATGTTTTAACAGAACGATGAAGACATGAAGATGATGTTAGACACAGTACTCATCTCACCACTGTGAATACGAAGATGCTCCTTCAGGTGGTGCTTGTACTTGAAGGCTTTTCCACACTCGCTGCACTTGAACTTGCGGTTTGCAGCTCCTTCACTGAGCAGCGGAGGCTGCAGAGAGAAGAAACAGATTAGAGGTGAAAGATGGGGAGTGGGAGTGGAGCTGTGACAGACAGAGACAGATTCTCCTGAATGTCTAAGTGTCAAAGGCTTTCTGAGAAACAGTGTGGGATGACAATGTTCAGAGGAGGTGCATTCCCAACATTTCACATGCAAATTCAGACAGAAACAAACATAAACAGTGGAGGGAGCGGGGTCCTCCCCCATTAGCAGAGGGGCAGATGAAATATTTCAGTTTCATATGAAACACAAACCTGAACAGTCATTTAATTTATTTGTCAGAAACAGCAGCTCTGACATTCTTTAACCACAAGTTAAAGCAGACAGCAATAAGAAAGACCAGTCAAAAACTGATGACTAATCACAAGACATGAATCTTCAGTTTCACCTTTGAAGAACATTATTGTTACAAAATCTGCTACAGTCACCCCCGTGTTCAAGGGAGGTGACACTGGTGACTTAAACTGCTATAGACCCATCTCCATCCTGCCAGGCATTTCAAAGGTTCTTGAAAAGTGAATCAACTCACAGCTTATTGAGCACCTGGAAACACACAGTATTCTCAACCTTCTACAGTCAGGTTTTACATCAGGGCACAGTTGCATCACCTCCATTGTTTATGTGATTGATAATAAAACTGCTGTCTTCATCAGCCTAGCCAAGTCCTTTGATTTTGTAGACCAGTCCATGTTGTTAGGAAGACTAAGAAACTTCGTGTCAGAGAACTGAATAGCTTAGTTCGGAGTTATGGACGTACACAGTCAGTGTAGGGGGGCGGGGGGTCACCTGTCAGACCTACTACCCATCTGCAAAGGCGGTCCCCAAGGCTCCATACGTGGCCCAACTCTCTTCAGCATTTACATCAACAATGTTACAAATGATGTAAAGTTCACACCCATCTGTATGCTGATGACACCATCATTTCTACTTCCAGTGCCTCTCTTAACGCTGTGCTCTCCACACTACAGATTAGTTTAATAACATAGAACATGTCTTTTTTACCTTCATTTGAAACTGAACACTCTGAAAACAAAATGTTTAACAGAAACTTGAATTAAATAGTCCCCGCTCAGAAAATCCTGTCCTTGGATGGTTCTGAGATCCAGCTTAGAAGCAGCAACAAATACCTTGAGATTTGACTGGACTCTTCACTCTCATATGAAATTAACTTCAACACCCCGCTCTCCAAACCCTAATCCTGAATGGGTTTTCCCTTCAGAAACAAATGATCTCTGACTCAACATGCTGAGCATCTTTTGGTAAAAACGATAAGCCTTCCACTGTTTACCTGTGGTTCTGTCAACAACAGAACTGCTTCCACAACTCTCTTCCACAAACTGGGTAATAGTTCCCATGCAGCCATTAGATTTATCACCTTTCAGGATCCAGCACTGCGTTCTCTGTCCCCTGGTGATCTGACCCTCTCTTCACTCCCACAGACAAACTCTTTCTGTTCATCTATAACATCCTAACCACATCCTACCTCTGCTCATTACTACAAATCTATAACAATGTTTGTTCCTTCCACTCCAGCAGCTACATTAACCTTTCTATAACTAAAGCACTCACCTCCTTTGGCTATTCATTTTTTTTCATTTTCTGCAGCYAATGATTGGGACCATCTGCAAAATAACACCACGACTTCTGTGTTTTGTTCCAGTTGCCTGGTTTAAAAACACAATGAGAGCATTGCTTGATGACTGCAGCTTATGCTTGTAGCATGTTCTGCCACCATGTCTGTTGTTACTCAGTTGTATGATTGTGTTGCAGCTCTTTGATTGTTAACSTTTCACACTGTCTGTACCATTAGTTGTTCGTTTGTCAACTGTTTATATGTTGTCCGTCTCCTGCTCTCATCTTCCTGTATTTGCTGCCTCTTGGCCAGGTTGTCATTGAAAATGAGAATGTGTTCTCATGGACTAACCTGGTTAAATAAAGTAAAATAAAATCTGATCAGATCTAATCTGAGATCCACTGCAGCAGATCTTTAATCCTGACCCTGAGCTTCAGCTCACGTTGGTCCTTCTTGTTGTTAATRAAGTTGAATAAACTGAAAGAATAGAAAATTGTTTGTTTCTAACTAAAAGGCAACCTGTGAAGGAAGTCATGTGACTGATGAATATAAACGTGTGTTTCTGTTGTGAATATGAAACATTCAGTCTGAAATCATCAATCGTCTTTAACAGTTTAACTCGATGAGTCTTCAGATAAAAACACACTTAGAGGATTAAGATTATTCAGCCCAGTGGGCAAAATACCATCTGGTCCTGGTTCGGTCTGTAAGGGAGGGGTRGTGGGAGTGGACATGTCTCTGAGGTCTAAGGACAACAGTTCAGCTCAGAGAATCTCATTACGATCCCAGTGTGACTCAGAGCTTAGTTACTGACTCTAATGAGACTTCTGCATCCAACCGTCCAGCAGACAGGTGTGAACAGGAGTCCTGCCTGGCCTGAGATCACACTTACACACCCTGAACACAGTCAACAAGCTGCGTGCAAAAGTATGGCTGCAGTGGGATGAAACTCCTCCCACACGTCATGTCTTGATGTGACTGGGTGTGGCCAAAAACAGCAGCAAGATGAAACTCCTCCCACATTACAGACAYTGCAGTGACTAAAACTGTTAGGGGTCGATTTATCCAGATATTTTTACCCAGAAAATTTAAAAATATCCTGTTCCAAAWGTGGGCGTGTTGTGTTAGTTACTAAGACTGTCTGTTCAAACAGGTGTAAAGGTGGTGCAGACGGCCGTTAACATGAGGATTTAACGTCTCTGATGGAGGGAAACCAGTTCAGTGTTGTAAGTAGATTTAGTTTTTAACACAACAGAGCTCAGCAAAACACAGCTTTTGACAAAACATAAAAAAGTGTTATATTATTTAAACTGACTGGTTTTAAAAATTCTTTTGTTGTAAAATTGTTTTGAATTTGGATGTTATGCTTTAACATCGACTTAAAAAATGTTTTGATAATTTGTCAACCAAAGCATGTATCATGATGACATCATCAGCCATTCAGCCAATCAGATGTCACTGCTGCTGTTGGTCTGAATGCTGACCACAATGAGACAAGAAGGACTCAGGGACGCCCTTCAGGYTCTTACCTGGTCCGAGGCAGACTTGTGAGAGGTCATGTGACGCTCCAGCTGAGCTCGCTGCACGAAGGCGTCGCTGCAGAGTGGGCAGGTAAAGCTCTCCTCCATCTTCTCATGGCGATACCTGATGTGTTCTTTCAGCGACGTCAGACGCTTGTACCCTCGCTCACAGTAGGGACACGTCAGCAGCTGAGCAAAGTCATCTGTGGTGCTGAGCGGCAGGTCTGCAGCAGAAGGTCAGAGGTCAAAGGTCACTGACTGTAAAACCTAAATATTTATCAAACTAGAAGCTCTCAGAGACTGAACAGCTCTGCAAAGACCCTACATGATACAGAAGAGAGTGTGCTGCTGCTGAGCTGTGATTGGTGGAACCATCATCATCAGGTCATCATTGTAAATGAGAATCATTTTTAACTGACTTTCCTAATAAAATCAAGGTTTTAAAAAACATAAAGATAAAAAACAAAGTTTTTCTGGATGCTGATTGGCCGTCACAGTATGACATCAGTAAAAAGCAGCCTCTGGTTCTGGTTCTGTCTGTGAGGTCAGGGACACATGGAGTCAGATCACCACCAACATTTAAACATTAGTGATTTTTGTGACAACCCCAACACACCACAAACAATGTTTTTTTTTAAAAAAAGCATCAGTCTGTAACCTTTAGAGTTTTCTTGTGCACWGACCCCAAAGAATACACAAACAAATACTACAAAACAAAACACAACCTCTGTAGCAGCACTGCTTGCTGACTTTGATCAGTGATGATCAGCTGATCTGTATGAAGTTCACATTAAAAATAGTTGTTCTTTTCATTTTTCCAATATAATTCTAATTTATTCAAACATTTCTGAAGTTTTCTAGTTTTACTTTTTAATTAAAAGACATTCAAAGGTTTCATGATGTAACTAAGGTCTTTTTTATATCATCTGTAGTCAGGCATTTTTTTAGAGGTGGTTGAACAATACCACACCGTACCGTACCGTACTTTACGGTACCATACCATTTCATACAATACCATACCATATCATACCATACCGTACTGTACCGTACCATACCATACCAAACCATACCATACCATACCGTACCATACCGTACCAAACCGTACCATACCGTACCGTACCATGCCGTACCAAACCATACCAAACCGTACCATACCGTACCATACCGTACCATTTCATACAATACCATACCATTTCATACAATACCATACCATACCATACCATACCATACCATACCATACCATAC